ACTTCATTACAGAGTTGAAAGTCTGTTTTCCTACAGACCTGGTATACCACATGATGCAATCAAACACATTATTATCTGTCAAGCATCCAAAAATGAACTAAATGACTCATAAAAGCAATAAATAAGACACGGTCTCTGCCCCTGAAATACCTTACATTGTAAAATTAAAGCAAGACTCTCAGAAAGACTAAATCCTGGGGAACCAAGTTAGTCCTATAATGGAAAGGAGGAACGTGGGTTACACAATATGATAAAGCACACAGACAAATTCCTACAAGGAAGAGTGGAACTTAAACTGCCCACAGCTGCATTAGGGTAATAGTCCCATGCAAGTTTTCTCCCCACAGAAAATATGAGTTACCTTATTTGGTAATTCTGCTCATATGTTTTCACACTATGCATATTTCCTTGGGCAGTAGATTCCAGTTTTTCCCCTAGATGAAGGTGCATCTACTTCCCCGCTTTTAGTGTAATAACCTACAAATCCAGGTGGTTGCCATAGCACTCCTGAGTTTAACTAGGACTTTGTTCAATTTATAAAATAGCAATCAATAGGTATTTCCAGCAAATCAGTGTTAATATCTCTTCTGACTATGGGTTATTCACATATAACTCACTCAATACAGTTGAGCTTTGAAAGCTTTAACTTTAAAGCAAAAAAAAAAAAAAAAATCATAATTCTGTGCAGCAATAGCTAAAAAATTATAACTGCAGAGCATACTCAGCAGGCATCCCTATGATTTACAATACAGCCTAATAAAATTATGCCTCATGGAGAGAGTGGAAGAATCTTACTCTACCCCACCATGCCTGGCTTGTGCGACAGACAGCAGCTGCTACTGAGATAATTTGCAGAAGGCAGAGTGTATTTCAAGAACGCATTTAAACATCCAAACACAGCTGTACATATACATGACCATACACTCATGAAAAGAAATATATGAAATAATTACAGAAGCCTCCATTATACTTACTGGTTACATTTTGCAATTAGGTGCTAAGCCTTTTATATTTCAAATATACATGGATTTATTTTTTATCAGGAAGGTCTAGTAGTCATAACATAAACAATGCTTTTGCATTCTGTTAATTCAGACTTGCTAAAACTAATTACATTTAAAAGTGTAGGTATTTGGACAACACCAAGCATAAAGCTCCAAATTTCTACTTTGCTTATAATAGCCAAATAAGTGACACTGGAAATGGAGCCTGCTGGTAGGAACTCTTCTCTTAATAAATTAGACCTTCAGCACCTGAGGAATATATTGCATGTTAGATGTCTCATGGTACCAATACAGTATTGATAACTACTCTGAAAAAGAATCAGATAATATTTTGCACTGCACTTTATGAAGTCTGAAACTTTCACTATTGCCAAAAATTTTTTGCATTTATAGACATTTTTAAGTATTATTTAAAATTGTCTGAGAACCAGTCTTTATCCAGGACTCAAAAGGGGGATGTGAAGAGCAACTGTTCAAATTTTTGTCTTATCTCCACTATTCAAATCTTGCCATAGACTTCATCTGCTATAATCTGTCTGAAGTCTTTCCTCAGGACAAAAATCAATGTCTCAATATGCTTTTCACCATTACAGAAGTATTCCCTATGCTTTCCACCATGTATGCTTCATATACCCTAATTAATCTTCATAACCACTTCATTTACTTTCAAACAGGACACTGAAGCATAGCAAGGTCAAAAGTGTCCAGCAGTTTTAATGAACTGATTCAAGATGCCCACGATCATATTTTCCGGAGTACCTACATATAGAATATACAGATTCCATCGATTTGCTCTAGTCAGACTTGTACCCTTAGCACTTGTACTTGACAGTCTCAACTCATGTACCTAGAAAGCCACCATCCCACAAATTCTGTGAGCCCAACCAATTTGGTTTGTATGCCTCACACCTAGTGATAAAAAGCACCATCATTGTAAGCATCAGCACAGAAGTAATTTCTCCAGGACGGTGTTCATCTGCACTACCAAGAGACGATCCCTGTTCTGCAGCCCCTGTCAGTCCTATGTATCAATTCTAACAGCTGCAAACAGCAAGGAAAGGATCCTACAGAAAACTAAGCTCTTGAATACCCACAAAGTTTCTTTCTCAAAGCAGGTCCATCATGGGCACCTTGACAAGCATCAGTCACTGAAGAAAAAAAAGGTAGATTGAATGTATGTATGTCAAAAAGCATACATACATATAAGGGGATGGGAAAAATCTTTTGTTTAGCATTTTATAACTTTTATGTGCTCTGATTTGCAACCTTAATGTTTTCTATGTTATGTTTTGAAAAACAACCAGAAAGTCTACCATGTGGCACCATGCTGGCACCTGTACAATTGATCATCAGTTACAGCCTTTGCATACACCATACAGACCTCTGCCATATGAGGTAAGAGTAACTGATAGGAATAGTATATAGCCATCCCTGATGTATACCACTATGAAAGGGAATGACGCTCTTATAACTTGGCCAAGTATCTTCACTGAGAAGGAAAGGATGTATCTCTAAAACAGGAGCAAATGTCAGCTTTCTACATCAAAACAAAGAACTGCTAGAATTTCAAAACAAAAACACAGAGGGAAAATGAAAACAAAAACCCCATCCCAGAACACACTAATTTTTTAACACTGAAGAACTAACATATTTCTCTTTAGTCTTGTGCACAGAACTGGCAGACCTGTTTTGGCTTAAGCTTTAAAAATAAGAAAATGAGGAGAAAAAAAAAAAAAGAAAAAAAAAATCAGACTAAGGTGGACAACTAGCATGGGAAAATTCAGCCCAAATAATTAATACTTAGAAATGTTCTAAGGCACTGAAAACATCTTCTAATGTTATGTCAGGCAAACTTATTAATAGGCAGCCAAGCCAGGTATGTTTATGATAATATTGCTATACTTTCGTGATTCCACAACCAACCAAAGAGTGATTGTAATTTACCTACAGACACAAAACTTCCCAAATAGTATTTACAGTATTAGGACCAATTTAACTTAAGAATACACAACATTACATAGTGTCATTTTTAAAGTAAGAAGTATCCATTGAGCTTAAATCAAATATATGTATTTTATTATCAGCAAGAAGACTTCATAAAACTTCAGAGGCTTTAATGGATTTCCTTTCCAGATATTAATCAAACATATTTTCCTTAGTGGATGTAGAAAGCCCCTGCATCATCAAGTATAAAATCAATACTTCCATGCTGATAAACAAGAAGAAGAAATAAACCTGGTCAGAAGACACTGAAATCTTGATTAATAAAATATTATTTTAATATATACCTAGAAACAAAAATTTAGGTTGGACTACTGCGGTGGTATTTCTCACTAGAAGTAAAATGCAAACGGAAAAGAATTTAAGTGAAAGGTATTTGGCATTTTTTCTTTCAGATGCAATAATCACAAGGCCAGTCTAATTTATCCCAAGTGACATGTTATTCCTTTAGCAGTCTACAAAATCTCTCCAGAATCAGGCCCTGAGTATTCTCTGCTACTAGCTGTATTCTTTACAATTTTGTTTTAAAGTACCTATACTGCATGACTAGGCTCAGTGGTCCAAATCAATGGGATGGAGCAGATGGTATCATAAAAGTAGTCATATAAAATATAACAAATACAAATACTCCCTTATGTTAGCACAGAAGTGAACTACATTTATTGGCCCTTAACAGGACAATCTTTAAACTCTCCAAAGACCACCTGATTCATGCTCCCTCTTGGATAATTTCAGCAGAACCTAATCCTTTACTACTTAATGCTTTAAATACAGTAAAGCTCTTTGCAGTTTACCAAAGGTTTGCACTCAAGTTAGCGTGATTCAGAGCTGAGACCTATTTTCACTCATGAAAAAGCAAACATACACTAAACTGTAGCTACCCCGATACCCTATTGACTGAGTATTAGCAAGCATTTCGGGAGAAACAGCAAGGAATTGTCACCTCACAAGGAATTGGCAGTATGGGGGCGGGGGGAAGGTGCTCTCTGCCCTCCCAAATGCAACTTTCAGCATTCTCATCTGCCAGAAACCAGTACAAAAGGCAACAAATACTAAACACAGGAATGAGCTAGCTTATCTTCAGCCAAGAGATAAACCCACACAATAAATAATGTGCAAAAGACTTCAAACGTATATACAACATAGACATGTATATGTGTGTGTATATATATGAAAAAAGCCTTTGAGTCCCATATTTAAAAGTGTGCATGGTTTATTACCGTCAAACGAGGTGTAAAAAAGCACAGATCTTGGCTGGCTGAAGTTGAGAGCAACACTAAGTGCCCATAGACTCTGCCTGCCTCGAGAAATCAGTTCCTGCTGTAAAATAACAGACTTTAGCACATTCTGCAGAATGACATCACCCAAAGTGGCCTGCCAAAAATGTTACTTTTACATTTCTTCAACAAGAAGATTTCCTTTCACCACTCTTCTTTTTTTTTTTTTTTTTTTTTTTTTTAGTCAATCGTTCAAAAATAAGAAAGTTCTAAGTATTTCCAGGCCTACAGATTAGCAGCTTTTAACACAAGCAAGTGACTATGACTTTTAAAAATGTTGCGTGTATATGTATCTTTTTGCCTGGTTCTTTTCAGTAGATTTATATTTGCAACCATGCTGAGCTAAAATGATACAAGTTGATGCAATTATCATACTGAAACGATTTTTTTTCCTTTTGATTTATCACTATTCCACTGAAGAATACTTCATTTTACATCAAGAGCAAAGGTATGTCTACCCTTTTAGCAAGTTGTAGGTAACCCACCGGAAATTACTGAACATGAACAATGCAATAAATCAAAGGAGAAAACTTCTGCATTTTCAAGGAAGCTGTTTAAAGCTTACTAGATGACAGTTACAAGCAAAGCATTCCACTCTTCCAAATAGTGTAAACAAACAAAAGCTGCTAAATTAGTTGCAGAAATTATGGTCCTTTCACTGAAACATTCAAGATAAGCTCTTCACTTTTTCACTTCTAATGAGGGTTTTGCATCTTACCTCTGTAGAAGCCACAGCTAAAGTACACGGAAGTTTTTTCTTCAGCACTCATTCTCAGGTGTTACTTCTTTCTCCATCAGTAAGTTTTATGAAGTCAACATCCAGCTCCTCACTGCAGAAATTGTGTCTTTGTTATTAGGTTTGAAATTAAATAAGACAATTCAATATTAACTAATGCTGTAGAGGCTAGTACAGTTTCCCCTTTGAAAAAATAAAAATAAAAATTGCAGGGTGTTCAAGCTAGAAGTTACAAGTTATGCATGCAACTGAATGCTATTTCTTTGACTTATAATAATGTTTTAAGTTCCTCTTTTGTAGTTATTGGTTTTAGGCAAATGAACAAAAATACTACTGAAATTCAGATTTTTTTTTGGACAAGAGTTGAACAAGTCTTAAGTATAAAGCACTTTGTATGGTACAGGAAATAAAACAACTTCAGAGAACAATCCAGTATTATCAAGGGGAGAGACAAGGTAGTCCAATGTTCTAATGTTTTAATCCAATGCTGCAATGTCTTTAACATCACCAAAATGGTCATACTCCTGATAAATATTTATAAAGTGTGTATGTGCACAATATCTTCTAAAGACAGAACTTTGGAGAAAACAATATTCTTTAGTTATTTTTCTCAGTGCTTCCACAGTGATTTTTTAATATAGCTAGATTACATAAGGAAAAAGTAGAGTATATAATGAATGCAACTCTTCTGATTTGTTGTAAAGTAGCTCATATCTAACATTCTCCAAGAACTTGTATTGCAGTGCTCATTTAAGAAATTTTTAAGGGTTATTTTTATTTATTTAAAAATAATAAGAGTTTTGGCAATAATAAATTAAGAACCCCAAATTTGCACTGAATTAATTTGCCATCTATGACCACTTTTTAATGTAAACCTTGAGAAATTTCTGCAGTTACTTTGGGTTAAGAGTAAATGAAGAAGAGTAATTTAAGAGTCTAATTTCATGATTTGCAGCTCTTCCTTCTGCATGTCACACAATTAGTTACTTTAGTGATGCTTTCTATTGCCTGTCTTCAGATGACCGATAAGACACTGATACTATGAAATTCGCATTCTGTGTTCTTGTGACAAGGAAAAAAAAAACAAACATGAATTCACATCATATTCAAATACACTGATTGCAGTATAGCTCAGTGGAGTCTTAACACAGGCATGAAACGAACTCATGTGTTCTATTAGCTCAGCAATTCCCGGCAGCAGAGGATCAATTCAGATTAAGTATGTTTATACAATGGAAGGTATTTTTAAAATACAGATGGAGGAAAAAACCCCAAAACACACCCACATGGACCTACTGCATATAGAATGAGGGATCTAATTCATTTCTATATATGATATAATATTTAGTAGAATTAGTTACTTTTGAAGTTAAAACAACATCTTTGCATTTACAGCTGCTTTGCAGACTGTAGTCCTCTTTCTTGAAAAGGGCATCACGGCAAGGCAAGATTAAAGACCAACTTTATAAAACAACATTTTGTGGTATTGACTGTAAATAAAAAAAAAAAAAAAAAAAAAAAAAAAAGGAACATTTCCCTTCAATACTTGTCAAGGCAGCTATAAGAACTTCAGTGCTAAATGCTCAGGTTACACATAATCCTCCAGCTGCGAGGCGACAATTAGCACCAAAATCTCTAGAAAAGCTTTCAGCTCTCAACAGGTGCCTCACCATTGTGTTCAGGTTTAAATCAAAATCTGGCAGAGTGAATGTCCCACCTCCTGTCACCCCTCCCCTTTGAAACAACTCTTATTACAGCCCCTATCAGAGCAGCTCCACTCTCATTTTCTCTAAAAAGACCAAACATTACTTTCACTCTTTTGTTGGAGTGCTTTTTTCCCTTATCTTTCATCTATCTGACTGAGACATCTGAAGGCAGGAAGTGGAATTTATTTATTGTGTATTAAGAATCTACTACTTCTCTCCTGACTGGTGAAAACAGGAGCAAATCCTCTGAGAGTCATATAATTATACTGACAAAAATCAGAAAGTCTTTCCCTTTCCTTTAGGCAGTTTCAGAAATGACCATCCAAAAAACCTCAGAAGTACATTAGGCTGCAACATTAACATCATATCTGTATTAAAGTGGGAATTACAGATCTGAAATTCTCTGTAATATCATGCATTATAAAATTTCCTTCCCTATCAAATCCCAGAAATAGTCTTTAGATTAAAAGTTATTCCTCTCCTTTAGAACATCTTCAACAAGGCAGGAATGGCAAAGTGCTTCTTACAATTCTGACTTCAACAGCAAGTATAAACACTGTTAGAAAATTTCTCCTTTTTCCAATGTAGAGGCATGCTCTACCCAGAAGGAGTATTTATTAGGAAGAATTCCCTCCTTTCTAGCCAGTCAAGCTTTTCTGATCCATTAACAAATACTATTTGGCAAAATAAGCAATTTAAAACCCTTCAATACTCAAGGGAGGCTGACTGCCTAGTGAATTAATCATTTATAATGAAGAAAAAGAAAATGGTTATGAGATATTTCAAAAGATGTAGTAAAACATGATGGCACTTAAAAGAATAAAAAAATCTTGATGTTTGATCTGACTTGTTTCCATATGGAGACAAGATTGATAATACAAACCAGATACTTTTTTGGTGCCATTCAGTTTATAAAGTCAAGTTTCCACAACACAATAAGAAAACAGCAAGTAGATTAATCATGCACGATTTCCAGGTTTGCTTTGTGCTCTGCATCTTGCAGAGTCCTTTTGGCATTACCTTTCTGAGCCATGCTCATGAGTGCTCCTCCCAGTTTTTTGCTGCTTTCTGGTTTCTTTCCACCTCCTGTGGACAGATCCCAGCAGTTCACACTCTGCCCCTGGCAGTCAGTCCCCAGGGAACTCAGGTCCCAAGATTCGTGGCTGATTAACCGTAAAAAACCTCATGCTGCAGGATGTACAAGAATGAACACTAACCAAGTTGCTAGTACACAAGCACTCAGTTCTGGATCCTACTCTAACTCAACTACCAAGTGGTATAGAGGATTTGGATAATTAGGTTATACAGATCTGGAATTACCAGCATGCAATCTGGAACTTCTGTGTGGCAGCAAACCGTCCTGGAGCCAAGACATGCAACCTGCTTACCATGACTGTTTTCTGAAATATTTCTGCTCTGAAGCATCTCAGATGGTATTACTCTATTAGGCTCAGAAAAAACCTAACGTGTGACAGTTACTCGGGGATAATGGCATTCTAAATAGTGCACTTGTATTTGCTAAACCTTTAATACCAATTTTTATTATTTTTTTCTCCATCAATTGAAATTTAGCAATAATTAGTTCCTAATTGTGTGTTTCTTCCCCCCCCTCCTTGGGATCTGAAGCCTCCCCAGATCAGAAGTGAGGAATACCGAGGGAGGGAGGGTCACATAAATATCATACCTTCCACATGCAACTGAAGCTGTGGCCATACACTACCTGTCATAGCAGCCATTATCTCGCAATCATAACATGGAAAGAGCTCCCAGTTATGCTGCAATTTCCTGCCATTCCTTTAGGATGGCTATAAGAAATAATTAATCTCCTGTATTGAAGCTGGTAGCTAAAACAATGGCAGTCTTCAAAGGGAGCTGTGAACATGGCCTTACCCAAAGCTAGAAAGACTGAGAGGTCTGCTTGGAACAAGGGACAACTTTGGTAAAACAGATCTCCTATAACATCCTTAGGTTGCCACAGAGCAGCAAATTTGTACTGAAAAGAAAATCTTCATCTAAATGTTTCCAACCCATTTTCCCAGAGAGACGTTTAGTGAATAACTTGACATGGTTGCAGGATGACACAAAGAGATTGCCCTGCCTACCTTCACTAGGCAGCAGAACACACACAAAGCCAGAAAGACAGGATTTTGACTCCCAGCCATCCTAGATTTCATGCCAATTAAAAAAGTTAGTGGACAACCTGAAGTCATCAATATATATTTCGCAGAAAAATACTGACCTTTTTTATGGATTCACACCGACTGTAGGAAACACCCTATACAAGAAAATTAATTTCATTCTCCTGAATTATTTTGTTATCAACAGCTTAGGATTCACCAGGAGTCTTAAGTACAAGCCAAGATTTAATTGTCTTAATCTTTCAGTAATTGTAATAAAAAGACAGGTCTCTGATCCAAATTATTTATGATTTAAACAAAATTGAAAATAGCAAGGAAACACTGAAAAAGTAGTGATCACTAATGAGCACAGAAGTAATGTCAGAAAAAAACAAAGCCTATTGCTGTTGACTTTTTGCGCAGAAAGAAGAAAGTTAAATTTATTCTCAGGGGCCTCTCCAAAAACGTGAAGGAAACAAAAGCGAAAACATAAATGTACTTTATCTGGAAATGCATTGAGCAAGTGACAGTCATGTCTCAGCACTGAAAAAGGAGCAAAACAATAAAGAAAAGACATTAGAACTAAAGACATCAGAAAGAAGAAGAAAGAAATCAGGGAAGAAAGAAGGGAAAGAATCAGACAAAGGAAAAAAAAAGGAACTTTAAGGAGTGACCTGAAAGCAGTGCAAGGATTACTGGACTTCAGAGGTACGATGCTGCTAGTTTACAGAACTTCAGCTGTTTTGCTGAGGAAAGAGCAGAAGCAATGGATGCAGCCCAGTGTGGGATAATCCTAAAGTCAGAGAACATATGCTTTGAGTTTAATCCAACTGCAGAGTTCTGGCAAACATGCTGCATTTATAGAGGCAAATACATCAACTTTAATTTTTTAGCAGCTGTGCTGCCCTTTAATTTCTTATACCCTGAAGTGTACACTTGTAGCCCTTTCGCTTACCTCTAAAAAGCAGATCACTTAAAACAGCCCAGCCTTTCTATCTGAAGCCAACTAACAGCTCTTGCCCACTGGAATTTTCTTTGAGATGTACTATTATTTTCCACTTGTTTTGCCCGTTTTCTTCTTAATCAAACACACATTGAAGTGTCTTCCTAGGAAGGCTAAGCCATACCAGCAGGAACCAAGACTCTCTAGTTCAGCTGGCAAACTTCTCCCTAGGAATCCCAAATTCTCCCAGATCCAGAAAGCCTCCTCTCTTTCACAATTCAAGCTTTTCCTCCCAGACCCA